AAAATATAATCTTCATTTAACATTACTATTGCCTTATGTTTCATTTTACTTCTACATCATTTTCAATTTTTCTTCTTCTTTTATATTTTTGTATCTCTTCTTGAAAAAACGTTCATTTTAGTTATATATTAGCTCAAGGCAGTTTAGTGCCATATCTTTTTCCTATCTTCCTCCTCTCTAAGCTAATTTATGAGTTTTTATCCTCATGTATTTCAGATATTATTTTATTTATTTTACTATTCTACAGAAGATACTATATTTCGACAGTGAAGGTGGTCCTCAGAATCTAGGAACTCAACCTTGGCATAGTCTAAGGGCATCCTTAGGGCAACCTTGTTGTGGCCCCATCAGTCACGAAGATAGAAAAGAGAAAGTTGATTTTATTAGATCCATTCTGACCTGTGAATTTATGTTGGAAAAATGTATACATATTCCGACCTGTAGATTAATTGCTATTATTTTTTTTTAAAGTTATTTAAGAAACGTGTTGAAATAGTATTTTAAGTTGAAATAATATCTGGGGCCAACTGGCTCTTTCTCCTGAACGGAAAAGGTTTGATCTCAACCACAGTTTAAAGCATGAATCATTGTCAATTGACAGTAATTTGAACCCACCAAGGGAATTCTCAACATTAAACATATTCTATAATGACACATAAGTTATCAAAATGAAAACTCATACAATATGAAATCTCACTTATTTAGGAATGTTTTTTTTTCCCCTCGGAAATAGAAAAAAAATATGATAAACGTTTTGGTCAATGATGGGGGAAAAAATAGAATAAAGATATTTTTCTTAAAATAATTAACGATATATAATTTTTTTGTAAGTAGATACAATATTTTTACTATGCTGAAATTCATAAATTCAAATCAAATTGCTATGTTAAGCAACCATGAATTGAGTAGCATTTCGGAAAGGAATGACATCTTAAAATAATATACATTAAGAATATTTTACTTTCTTATGCAAATATCATCAATGATAAATCAAAATATATTTATTTTATTTATAATTTATATCAATCCTTTCTAATACAATCTTAAGATAGTATGCATAGTAACTCCACCCTGAATCTCAAGAAATTCAATGAAAAAATGACTCATTTCAGCCCCTACTCCCCCCCCCTTTGATTGCCAAAACACTAACATAAAACAATGAACAATGTTTAAGGGAAAAAGAGACATAACATCGGCTCAACAATCAAATTTGTTGACAAGTGTACTTTTTATGGAGCCTCATAAAAGTATCACTTTTTTATGAAACGTTCAGGTGAAGTTAAAGAAAAGACTATCCACACTACCATTAGCATCTGTTTCGTTTAAAACCGGTATTATAGACATATCAATAAATAATAACAATAAGTGTAATAGGTTAACTGTGTAATTATACTTGAAGTATAAAAAAAAAAACACAAACCTTTCTTTACAGTCTCATTTGTTTATCTTTTTGAGTTTTCGGTGCTCTTCACCATATTTATTTTTTTTTTAAATTAAAAGAATATCTGTACATATATACATTAAAATTGCTTATTGTCACCAAGAACTCTGACATACATTTTCACATACCTTTATAACGCTCGTTCCATTTTTGGATTTCGTTCTTTACATTAATTTTTTCTATAACATAAATAAATAAACATTCATTGTAGAATGGTGTCTGGATTAAAAATAAAAAATGTTTGGGCTTTTGAATCAGTGAGTTAAAAACAATTTTTCTTTTAAACTACGGTATAATAGGTAATTGCTGTGTTATAATTCCGTTCATTTTAACTAACCAGAAGTAAGAGTTTATTAGCATTCTTTTTAATGTTTTTTTTTTAAGAGTATGGTGCAGCGTACTGAAAGCTCCATAAGATAAATAGATGAGAATGTAAAAAGAATGATTTTTGTTTTTTTCTTACTTCAATAATAACTATATTAAAAAAAAAAACTTCTTTGTATCCGATTTTGATAACCTAATTACATTCAGAGAAACATATTTATTTTTGTCTAGAGGAAACAGGCTCAAAATGTCCATGAGAAGAGGAAGCTATACTTTTTCAGAAAAAAAGATAACTTATTGTTTGTTGAAGGTTAATAGAAGATGGGCAACGATTCCATCGCATTGAAGGTTAAGAGTTTTCTTTTTAGCCGAAGAAATCGTAAACATTAATTTAAGAGCACTCATTAAACAAGATTTGAAAAAATAAACTGAGATATCAATAATGCTTTAAATTGACACGTGTTTGTTTTGTTTATTCAAATATTTGCTTCTAAAGGCAGTTCATTTACATTTGAAAGCTCATGCACTGTCATCCCTAGATAGTAAGTTTGCCACTCGCTTAACTTTATCCAATCTTAAATATTGTATTATTCAGTACGTATTGATTGATTAGATGTAAAAGTTATTTAAAAATAAAAATCTTAAACAATATTTTTACTGCAAAACATAAAGCAAATCATATCTTCTGAAGGTATATAATATCTGATAGACTACACTGTATGTTTTGTAACTATCAAAATAAATATATTAGGAAACGCGTTGATTTGAAAACATAACCCTAAACCAATAGAATACATAATCATATACGTTTGTTCATCTTAACAAAAAATCGATGTTTTTTTTAGAAATAAAGTAAATACTTTTAAACTTAAACTTGTCAATCTATACAATTGAATTTAATACTAAATGCTCCTTTCCTCTAATAGTTGTATTTAAAACTTGAGGCTGCCAGTTTTATTTCATAAATAAAAAAAAATTGTTGGTTATCATAAAATGAAGCCATTTACGAAATTCTAAACGAGTGTCAATAATTTCAAAGAGGTCTGTATCGTGTATTACATATTTTTAATACACATCACATTTCGATAATAAATGTGGTAAAGTTAAACAAAAATATCAGTACAATGGCTCCCTACTTTCGAAGAAAAACTCCCCTTTCAATAAAAAAAAAAAAAAAAAGATTTTATACAAATCAATGACACGCCCTTTAATAACTTACGTTTGTTCGGTATGGAGTAATAAATGTGACTCAAACTATAAGAAATTATAAAGAGTACTAAACCTGTGTATAATAATCATAAAGGGTTATTTGAGATATACAAGAATAACCAAAATATTAATCGATTTAGAACTGCAGACAATCAAACAATTCATATCATCCCAGACCCAGACAATTGTCAACTGAACAAATACATCAGTAAACCTCGTAATTAAAGCAATAGGCAATTACAACAAGCAAAGTTTAAGAAGATACAAACGCAGATGTACAAACCATATCTTACTTGAATAAAACTGACCAAAAGAATATTTCATAAGATTCAAAAAGTTCCAAATAAGTTCCATTTTACTTTAGTATAGCTAATTAACATATATAAAATATACTATAAATCTTTATTTAAATGTACATCAGAAATAGCCTTGAAGAGTCATTCTAAAAGGAGCCCAACGCTATTAAAAACTTAATATTGTTCCTTAAGGAAACCAAAATATTTCAAGAAATTTAATCACATCTTGTAATCGCAAACATATATGTTTAGTTTTTTAAGTTTGTAGATTCCTCTTCAAATTGTAAATATACCTGTTAATTTTTCTTCTTGTAATTTTTAATATTTAAATTGTACTTTCTAACTTTTCTTCTTTTAATATTAATTTTATTTTTTAAACCGTATTTTTAGATTACATTTCTGGAATCATTAACCTTTTATTTAAATGTCCTTGTTATCTTTTCCTAATCTTTAATATTTAATTTTAATGGTTCTTGTACTTTTTAATAATTACACTTCACTCTTTAGCTTCGCTTCCATTAACATTAATTTTTATTATTTAAAAATGTATTTTTTTTTGTATTTTGTTCTTAAAATCATTAACCTTTATTTTTGTTGTCTTTGTTAACTTATCTCCATTTAAATGTTTAACTTTCAATTTTTAAAATTTTAATTCAATTGTACTATCATATTCATCTGAAACTATTCTAAACTTTTCAAACTTCAAATTGTATTTCTTAGCTTTAGTTTTGTTATGTGTGTGGTAATTGATCAAATTGTAATATAGGGCGAAAATGACCCAGGCGGTTGAAGAGCCCAAAACAGTTATAAATAAATAAATTAATAATTTATAGTTAATAGTTTTTTTCATTTTATTACTATTGTTTATTTTATTTATATATAAATTATTTATTATTTATTTTTGGTTTTTCCTATTGTCAAAAACAAAGGTATAGTACTCAAGTTGTAATTGTAATTAATATTAAATAAATGTATTATAATTGTTCTTTTTAATAAATTAATGTAATAATAAAATCCCATAAATGGTAATTATAGTTCTACTTTATTTGCTTTTAGGACTATAGTGATCAAGTATGTAGTTTTATTATTACTGTTAAGGTGAGTCCTAAACTACAAATTTGAATAAATATATATTCAATCAAACTAATGTTTTTTTTTTTTAATTTTGATCTACCCCCTAATTGAAATAACCATAAGCTATATAATTTCAACATATTCTTGGTTTTCAAACAATACTTCATTGAATTAAAAAAAAAAAAAATATGAACCGAATGGTATCTGCAAAAGCAAAAGAAAATGGAATTTCTGGTAGAAAATACTAGCTGTTAAGCAACATATTTTATTAGACTTTTTTATTCCTAAATGGCGTGAGCAATACGACCTTTAGGTAAGAAAATTCATGTATTTGCAAAAGCAAAAGAAAATGGTATCCCTGGTAGAAAATACTAGCACTTAAGAAACATATTTTATTAGACATTTTTATACCTAAATGACGTGAGCAATATGGCCTTCAAGTAAGAACATTCATGTATTTGCAAAAGCAAAAGAAAATGGTATCTCTGGTAGAAAACACTAGCACTTAAGAAACATATTTTATTAGACATTTTTATACTTAAATGACCTTTAGGTAAGAACTTTCATTGCTATTCCTGTTCGGGGTGACCTCTTATGCGACCTCTTATCAATCAGGTGATACCTACGAAATAAAATATAGATAAGGAAACTGAGGCTTACCGTATGATCTGATCTGTGAAAATGGACCACCAGGAGTTTCTATGTTGCCTAGGAGCGCCACCTGGTGCCAAACTCTTCCTCCTCTTCCTCTCCTTGTCCAGTTTGCCAGGATGCCAGGACCTCCTCCTGCCACGGTCCTTCACCTCCTGAGGGATTGGAAGGACATCGTCACCCTCGTTTTCCTGGACGCTCTCGAGACCGCCAGAGCTGCCCCACTTCTTCTTAACCGGGGTAGGAGGATTGTTGTTTCCTGGGTCTACGTACAACTCCGTGTCCATTTTGAATGAATCCACTTTACTGTTCACTGAGAAACCTAACACGGAATCACACTGGCATCATGCCACACGATCACAATCACCGAAAACGAACACCCTCACTATTATTTCACTCGTCCCTAAAAATAAATAAAAAGAAAGTAAATAAAAATAATAAATTTCAATAAAATATATAAATAAAAATAACTGAATAAAATGTCGTTCCAGTTGGACTTGAGGAAGAAAATCGTGTTCCATGAAATAATGCTGGTATATAATAAATTCTGAGCTCAAAATATTGTTTAATGGAGCTATAACATATGTAACTCTCAAGCGATAAGTTTAAAAACTCAATTTACTAAGAAACAGTATTTAAATTAGAAAAATCATATTACATCTAACTTTTTCTTTATCAAATTCCACGAAGCTCAATGGAAGAGACGAAAAGTTCCATATGAATAAATTTTATAAAAACTTTTTCTTTCAATAGAGAAAGTACATAAAATTCCATTTTGAATAGAATGGATGGGACATTAATAAGTTATGTTAATAAAAAAACAAGTTTTCTCGATCTGCTGTCCCACAATTTAATATTATTTTATACATACGTTTCGGCGCTTGGTCATCATAAGCATATCTGTTATTCCTATTTACATATTTTTTCTTGAAAACAATTTAAACTTTGCTATCGTCTATTTTTCATTTCGAATACGTAAAGGTCACTTTATTTTAAAAGACAAAATATATTTAATTCACATATAAAATTATCTGTGAACAGTATATTACAACACTGATAAGAGAGGAAGAGCAGATTGGCCTACAAGTAAATGAAGACAAAACAAAATACATGATAATAAGCCGAAAAATCCACCCCAATAATAGCATCTACGTAGCAGGAACATCATTCCCGAGAGTAGAAAAATTAAAATACCCCGGCTTCACAATAACCTCAATAAATGACCAACGGACAGAAATAAACCAGCGAATAACTAAAGCAAACAGAGCTTTTGTAAAATGCTATGATAAAGTCAGTTCTAATACATTACCAGGCTGTTAGACCTGGACACTGGTCAATCAATATCACATGATATAAAGGCACGGACGTTAAGATGGCCGAGGTATGTAACTCGTACCGATCCATCTGGAAGCCACTACGTAACAATGAATGCCTCAATGGGAGGCAAAAGACCACATGGAAGGCCAAAAAGGAGATGGATAGAAAGAGTCAACTAATATGCAACAGAGCGAGCTGCATGCAGATAAATGGAAAGAAATAGCCCATGACAGGCAGAGATGGAGCAGGCTTGCCAATGCGGCAAAAGATCTACACGGTCTGTAATGCAAAAATAAATAAAACTATCAAAATACTTAAAAAACATATAAATAATAAATTAAAGGCTTCAGAAACACTAATGCACTTTAAATAAATTTATTTAAAGTTTCCATAGTCTATTCGACATGGAAAATAGATGATAACAAAGTATGAATTGATTTTGAAGAAAAAATACTTTATCTAAATAGGAATAGCATATATGGTGATGGTGGCCATGCGCCAAAACGTACATATAAAATAAAGACTATAAAGTAAAAGAAAGTTGTCGGACAGGAGATCGAGAAAACTTGTATTTTTAATAATACAATTTAAAATAACTATTTTGTTATTCTTAAGGGACTTTGTCCCAGAATAAAGTTATTTTCTATTTATATTTATATTCTACAAATGCTTCCAAAATTCAATTATACACATTTATAATATATATTTAAAGTTTTAGCAATGGTTTTTTAAATCAATTACTATTGTTGTTTTCCACTCTGACAAGAGTATTAATAGGCGTCAACATCGTTGCTAGTCTGACGGCTTGTTGTGGGACATCAATATTAATAGAAGAACTCAACATCCAAGGAGACTTGTTTCGAATCTCGCTAATGAACTGGTAAATACTTATTAGGAAAACAAAACAAAGACTTATAATACCGTTTACCGAAATTCTGTTGATTAATACAAAAGCTGCCTTGTGAAGAGTCGAGGCCTTACTAACAAGTATTATTTTAAAATTAAACAGTACCAGAAAACCCTGACAACTAGAGGAACGAGCAAAAGCATTTATAAGAATATTTCTATAAATTATTATTACAATTAATTATATATTTACAGATATAACATAAAATTATATTAAATTAAAAGAATATTAAATACATTTAAAAAGAATTTATGTCAATCGCGAAATGTCATTCAATAGTCAAAATTATGGATTTGAAATGGCGTAAATTAGTCTCAACCTGGTTATTAGTGTAGCTGACAGTTTGAGATTGACACGAGCATTCAAAGACAATGACATGGCGATTCCATCATTCAATTAATTTCACTATCCACTCAAATTAAGTTACAGTACTTTAATTCAAACCGAATATTAAACAATGACGGTTTTTTCTCTCTTCTGGAACAAGATAAATTCTCATTATGAAAATACGTATTATACAAGTTTCTTATAATTAGAAGGAAATATTTATAACAGTTAATAATAACAGTTAATAGTAAACATACAGAGCTATGAAAAATTTCGTATAAATTATGGTCCGAATTTTTGGAAGAAAAGTAGGATAATAGAGTTTTGTGTTGTATTAGTTTTCAGTGTAATGCTTTGTGTTGAATAGGAAGCGATAACTAAACCAATATTTAACTAGGGTAATTAACAATCGTATTACAGTAAACTAGACATAATATACTTCAAACGAAAGGAGAGTCTTTTATTGATAAAATAATTTAACAGCTTTTGATCAGATAAACTAAACAAAGTTCTGCTTAAAAAAAAAGAACATGAATTATTTGTGATGTTTTTCTATCACCTAAGACATACACAAGTTTTAGAAAAACTTCTTTGTTTGATAAGTTTCAAGTCCATATCTGTAGCCCGGAGGTAAAGGATTTGTTGAGGGCTGCTAATGTTCCATAACTTGAACCTATCGAAATATGTTTCTTTATTACTAAATCTGTAATCCAGAAGTAAAGGACACTATGTCGTATTTTTGTATGTGTTCAGATAGACAATTTTCCACAAATTTAAATTATTATAATTTGTTTCTTAGTTACTGAATTATTTATTGGAAAAAAATGTAATTTATCTTGGAGGAACAGATTTTAATTAAATCGTGCTTATTAAGAAATAAGTTGAGATTCACATTAAGTTCTTAAATAAAAGTGAGGTGTCACTTAAAGCTTTAATTTATTATTTAAATTACCTGGAATGTATTATAATAAACACAAATAAACTTTTTATTTTGTTTATCATTAGGTTATTTCATTTTTATTTATTGTATATACTTATTGATTATTATTTAGTTATTGTTTTGCTTCTGTTTATTTTATATTTTCTGCAATATATAGTATGAATGTAATCTTATCTCACTATAAACATTGTCTATGTGACAGAATATTAATGAATAATAAAAAAACTAGAGACCATATCTTTTCTCCTAATTGTCCAATTTTAACGAATTGTTTTTTATGAAACTTTTAAAAAACCGTACAATATCGAAAAAAAGTGTATATTTTTAAGTTATTCGGGATTTAATTTTACCAACCGTCGTTACTTTTTTACCAGCTTCTTTTCGTTGAAGTATGTTATATAGATAAATTTAAAGGGTGTCGAGGAAATGACTTTAGCAAAGTTTCATTGAAATCGGTACATTCGTTTAGGCGCCACATTCTATAGCAACGCAGGTTTTTTTGCTTATCAAATTTTTCTTGCAATCTAACTTATCAAATTCTTTCAAAAGTTATATTTAGTATTTTTTCGTAGCTCTGAATAATGTGAAATGATAAACTTTTTAAAATAAACCATATTAAAGGTACTTTAGAGGAACACTTATATGAACATCGGGCATTTAAGCCCTGTAAAGTGACATCAACTGGGATAAGATCTAACTGATATTAAAGACCACTTAATTATACAATGATACACCGAGTTTAATCAAAATCCTTAGAACCGTTTTTGAGAAAATTGTGTAAATGTGTTTCAGCGTTGATATAACGTGGCACTTCCGGTAAGCCGATTTTAAGGAAAAGGTTGCTGTCACATCTAAGCCATATACTTATCTTAAATACGTAATATCATTTTCGTAGATTTTTCGTTTTCGAGCTCGAGTGTTCACATACACACAGACTATTTTTCGGGACTTGGTTATTTGGAATCAGGGTGCCACAAAACGTGTATTTCCGTTGAAAACTCAGATTCAAAAATTGTCTCGATCGCAATACTTACCCTTAAATATACATGTAAGTGTAAGTAAAAACATTAAAGTAATATTCTCAAACAAAAATTGAACGTCTCAGGAACTGATCACGAGTCGCGATATATAGCATGCCAACACAAACATGCCAATGTGATACGCTCTAAAATAAATATATTAATATAATTAACATACATAATAAAGTATAATGACTTGATGCCCCTACAACGAGGCCTGACAGCTAAGGCCGGCAACTAAATATATATATACACCACAGCCAGAGACAGAGTGGGTGTAGCCGAAGTTCTGATAAATGTCTTCCAGCCTCCGTTTCAGATTGGACCTTCACATTTTCGTCTTAAGCGATCCTTTTCGTTATTTTCTTATTTAACAGGAGATCTGAATGTCAATCGGTTGCTATTTTTTTTTCCAGTATATAATTCTAAAATGTCAGAGGTGTTTACGTTCCTCGTTGGTTTCACATACAGCGTTTAATGGAGTTTCAGTTTATTTTTGAAGACGGACAAATGGAATGTTTTTCTTCACTGGTTTTAACTACCTTATGTACGTTTCTTATATCGTTTATTTACTTGAAAATTCTTCTTTCGCAACATCTTGTTTACGAGCCAGATGTATCATAAGGTATTTTTAGTCTTTTAATGGATCTTCTTCATCGTAAACGGTTGAAATATAAATAAGAAATATTTATAAATTACAAACTAGTAAATCATTAGTTTCGCAGTTAGGTAGTGGGGAACGAATTAGATAAAAATATGGATGTAAGAATCCGGATG